TAAGAGACTTCTTTAAAAAACATTACAAGTCTTACTGATCCCAAACTTTTGAATGGTAGTGTATATATGTGTGTGAGTGTGTGTGTGTGTGATAAGTTCAGTTTCCATCACTTCTTTTCAATTTTCAATTTCCCTGTAATTTGGTATGTATTTCTATGTTGGTCCCTCACTTGACAGGTTGACAGGCTGAATTCTTTCCAGGCAATTGTGTTCCAATGCATTTTCAGAAATCGAATCAAACTGACAAGACTGATAACAAGTCACATTACTTTCGAGACAGGTTGTAATACTGCTCCTGACTTCAAAATGAACAGATGCCACCCTAAAACACACCCTACATTCAAAAGCCTCTCCAAAGGTTGCTGATATTCCATGGAAAGCTCGTCAGTGCTTCTATCAAAGAGAGTACAGAGGACATGTGGTCTGGCTCAGAAAAGCCTCAGTTTTCGCTTGACTGATTGATTGATGTCTCCACAGCAGGCGAGAGGACTGTTATGTGACTCTGCCTCAACATGCACTCACCTGAGAACAGCTCCTTATTTATTTATACCTAAAGAAGAGGAGAAGTCACCTCAACAACCTCTCTGTAAATCCCAGGACCCTTACAGTTTGAGTACCTCCATTCAGATTCAATCATCAGATGCATCAATCACTCCATGTAACTGTTACAATGTCATTGCTAACCTAGCTTACTGTAAGGATTGGTGCTTTGCTCAAGCAGAGACAGTATAAGGAGGAAGAGATATGCCTCTTTAAAAAAAAAAATATTTAAAAGAGTTAACTGTCTTTTTGACAGAGGCTGCATTTACTCTAGAATGCACATGTCGTGAAAGTTTTAGGCCAAGGCTTTTTCCATTCAAGTAGATTGAAGCGTAAGCGCAACTTGTATGTCAATTGCCTATTCAAGCAAACGCAACCCTCTCATGTGAGTTTATACGTGTTTTTTTTTATGCATGTGACTAGTCTAGACCACTTCCATTAGTCATGGAGGTTTCTGAAGTCGCACTTTAGTTAAATGGGACATTAGTCACATGTCCTGGCCTGTAATCATGTATTCAGGCATGTGTATATGAGAGTTTTGCTATGGTACCTGAATCAATGCGCGCTTGTCTGCGAGCGGCACATTCCTCGATGCGCAGTTTGGGAATCCCCTCGGCCACAGCGCGAGCCATACCTCCCATTTCCTCAATCTCAGTGATGAACTAAACAAGTCACAAAGAGAACAGAACTCAGGTAAACACACACAAATATCACAGATATTTCTAGCCACTAAGAAACAAATCCGAGTGCGTCGGACTAGGACTATCAAGGCTTATTTTATGCAGCTACTTATTTTTATAAATCGAAGAATTATTTTTATTTTATGACAGATAACTGATATGGCCGTCATTCAATTAAGAATAAGAATAATATTAAATAGCATTAATTTATAATTTAGCATTAACTAATGAATTATTTGAATTTATGCAATAATAATAACATTTATACAATTTAAAAAAAGAAGTATTATTTAATAAAATGTATTAAGTCAAGTCACATTTATTTATATAGTGCTTAGAATACAATGCAGATTGTTTTAAAGCATAATAAAAGAGTAATAAACAGGAAAATAACAAATGTTAATGTTGCAAAATTCACTAATCACGAAACAAATTCAATTTCAGATGTAAAGCAGTTCTGCAGATTTAATTAAAACTGTATTAATAAAACAATAAAACAGATGAATTATTAATATGTACTTCTGTCATCATTATAATTAAAAGTATCAATTATTTTATTATCATTATTATTTAATGTGTATTATGTAATATTTAACATGCATGTATAATAATTATAAAATTTATAATAATAATAATTTTACTCTATATTGGCCATATCAGCCATCCACCAAATGTATTATTTATTTTAATTATTATTTCATATTATTAATTATAGCAATTATATAGTAATAATATTCTTATAACAGTATAGATTGGCTATATCAGATATCAGCCATAACATAAAAATATGTATCAGCCAAAATTTCCACAGTCTGTGTGTGTTGTCATTAATCATTTCATTATGTGCTTTTAAGACATATCAAGTGTTTAATTATAGATCTATAATCAAGCGTTATGTAGAAATGTGAGGGGGACAAATTCATTAACAGATTTTAATTACATTTCATTTTGCACACAAAACTAGAAACCCACAGATATATATCTGTAAGTTAGAGAAGGTTTATAGCGAGTGGTTCTCTATAGCACGAACCTTGAGAATTTCATTTTGCACACAAAACTAGAAACCCACAGATATATATATCTGTAAGTTAGAGAAGGTTTATAACGAGTGGTTCTCTATAGCACGAACCTTGAGCGCGGAGTTGTACACGTCTTCGGTGAGGGCCTCCATCATGTAGGACCCACCCCAGGGGTCAGCCACCTTCGGGATGCCCGACTCCTCCTGGATAATGATCTGTGTATTGCGGGCGATGCGGGCGCTCTTGACGGTGGGCAGACCCAGAGCTTCGTCAAAAGAGTTTGTGTGCAGAGACTGTGTGCCGCCAAATACTGCAGCCATGGCCTCGATCACGGTACGGATCACATTGTTGTAAGGGTCCTGCAGGGCAGATGAGGTACATTTAATCAGAACATAATTTGTTTAAAATACAGAAGCATTTTAGAGAAATGATATTTCACTGTGGATGTGGTTACCCAGCATGATATCACAGAAATTTAAAGGGTTAGTTCACCCAAAAATGAAAATTCTGTCATTAATTACTCACCCTTGTGTTGTTCCAAACCCGTAAGACCTTCGTTCATCTTCGGAACACAATTTAAGATATTTTTGATGAAATCTGAGGGCTCTCTGACCCTCCCATAGACAGCAAGGTAACTACCACGTTCAAGGTCCAGAAAAGTACCAAGATGATCGACAAAGTAGTCCGTGTGACATCAGTGGTTCAACTGTAAAGTTACGAAGCTACGAGAATACTTTTTTGCGCAAAGAAAACTAAAATAACTACTTTTTTCCACATTTTTACTGCGTCACTTGTGGACGCGCGTTCACGACAGTATCATGACGCGAGCGTGTGGCGGCACTGACCCAGATCTGGTGGTGAAATAATCCTTTGACATGGTTAAAAATAATGAATGTTTCCTGTCGCCGATTACGATTACGTTTCCCTCCAGTGGGCGTGGTTCTCAGAGTAATGTGACACGTTCGCGCTCTACTTTTGTGTCCTTAAACGCTCATTTTTTTGGTCGACAGCTTATAAAAACGTAGTTCTGGGTTTTTTAGCTTGTTTACTGTACACCTTGTCACATAGCAGCTTTTAGATATTATGTTTTTTGTTATAAGTCAGAAATGACAAGGAGGCAGCTTCCCACAATACAAAGTCAATGGGAAACTTTGTATATATATTCTGAAGGTATACTGAGGGTTTGGTGAGAAACAAACCGAAATGGCAAGTTATTATATTTTATGAAAATCTTGCGTTGCAGTCCTATGTGCAAGTGCGCAGCAGCTCGCCGCACACAAGTGCATATCCTTTTGAGATATCAATTTTAATAAAACACAAGACTACATTATAAAACTCTAACAGTAGGCTATTTAATATCTGTTGTTCTCTATTATTCTGCGGTGATACTGCGGAAGAACTGATGACGGCACGGTTTGATCTTCGTTTAATTCCAGCCCACGTGTAGAAATCGAATATTCAAGCTGTTTATTCATTTTTCTACCCCTGAACGAAAAACAAAAATTTAAGCTGAATTCTCGTTTTTCTTTTTTAAAAAAACGAAAAAGGAGCCGTTTTCTAATTTTTTTACTTTCAATATTAAATAAAAAAACGAATGAACGAATAATACATGGATTTGCATGCAACAGTTTTACACTTTATTGCACCACAGCTGGTTTAATTTGACAAAAAAGCAGGCATGAACAGTTAAGAGTTCAGCAGGCGGTTCTGGAGCTGTGAATGAATGTTACCTGCTCAGTGAGGGACCATCCTGATGTCTGACAGTGAGTTCTCAGTAGGAGGGATTTGGAGTTCTTGGGTTGGAACTTCTCTTTGATAAATGACGCCCACAATCGCCGTGCTGCCCTCAGCTTCGCTATTTCCATATAAAAATTCATGCCTATCCCCCAGAAGAATGACAACCTAAAAAGAGATCATGCATAATAATCACTCTTCATGTCTTCATACTGTATATGAAACCTATAGAAAACCAAATATATCAACTGTTATTCTAAATTATTATTCGAATTATCATTATTATATTTAAAATTTATTATTAATATAAAAATAATTTAAATAATTAGAAACAATGTATTCATTCTCTAAAGAGTTTGGACTCCACCAATCCACAGTCAGACAGATTGTGTACAAAAAAAGGAAATTCAAGACCACTGGTTCCCTCCCCAGGAGTGGTCGACCGACAAAGATCCCTCCACCCCGTGGACAAGCCAGAGGGCTACTGGAGAAATGTTTTGTGGACGGATGAGACCACAACAGAACTTTTTGGTTTAAATGAGAAACGTTATGTTTGGAGAAAGAAAACACTACATTCCAGCATAAGAACCTTATCCCATCTGTAAAACACAGTGATAGTATTATGGTTTGGGCCTGTTTTGCTGCATCTGGGCCAGGACGGCTTGCCATCATTGATGGAACAATGAATTCTGAATTATACCAGCAAATTCTGAAGGAAAATGTCAGGGCATCTGTCCGAGAACTGAATCTCAAGAGAAAGTGGGTCATGCAGCAAGACAACGATCCCAAGCACACAAGTCGTTCTACCAAAGACTGGTTAAAGAAGAACAAAGTTAATGTTTTGGAATGTCTGAGTCAAAGTCTGGACCTTAATCCAATTGAAATTTTGTGGAAGGAGCTAAAGCAAGCAGTTCATATGAGGAAACCCACCATCACCACAGAGTTGATGTGGTTTTGTACTGAGGAATGAGCTAAAATTCCTACAAGCCGTTGTGCAGGACTGATCAGCAGTTACAAGAAACGTTTAAGGAGTGGTCGACCGACAAAGATCCCTCCGAAAGCAAGACGTGTAATAGTCTGCAATACTATTATATTAATAGGTTGCAAAGGACCCCAGGGTAACTTCTAAGCAACTAAAGGCCTCTCTCACATTGGCTAATGTTAATGTTTATGAGCCCATCATCAGGAGAACACGGAACAACCATAGTGGGCATGGCAGAGTTGCAAGGAGAAAGCCCCTGCTCTCCAAAAAGAACATTGCTGCCCATCTGCAGTTTGCTAAAGATCCCGTGGACAAGCCAGAGGGCTACTGGAGAAATGTTTTGTGGACGAAATTTTGTGGAAGGACCTAAAGCAAGCAGTTCATATGAGGAAACCCACCAACATCACAGAGTTGATGTGGTTTTGTACTGAGGAATGAGCTAAAATTCCTACAAGCCGTTGTGCAGGACTGATCAGCAGTTACAAGAAACGTTTAGCTGCAGTTATTGCTGCAAAAGGGGGTCACACCAGATACTGAATGCAAAGATTCACATACTTTTGCCACTCACAAATATTTAACCCTGGATCATTTTTCTCAATAAATAAATGGCAAAGTATATATTTTTGTCTCCTTTGTTTGATTGGGTTCTCTTTGTCTACTTTTAGGGCTTGTGTGAAAATCTGATGATGTTTTGGGTCATATTTATGCAGAAATATTGAAAATTTCATAAGGGTTTCACAAACTTTCAAGCAGCACTGTATGTAATAGTAGTAATATAAATAAATAATATTATTAATAATAACAATAATATTTATTACATTCAGTACATTTTAATACGCATTTTTATATTATTAGCAGTAGTAGTAGTAGTAGTGGTGGTGCAATAATAATATTTTATTCTACATATTATTATCATCTATAAATATGTAGAGTGTAAGATTATCATACATTAATTAATATAATAATTATCATCTATTAATAAATAAGCATTAAATAAGAATTAAAGAAATAATGTACTCTTATTTAGTATTAGTAGCAATAAGATTAATCATAATAACAACAGTTATACAATCAAAACTATTTAATATAATTTTTATTTTAAAAAATGAATACAATAAAAATAAAATAGATGAATTATTAAAATGCTTTTCTATTATTAGTAGTAGTAGTAGTATTCATTATTTATCAAATATGATTATAATTATTGCTTAATGTGTATTGTGTAATAATATATAATTTAACATGTATTCATTCTTATTATTGTTTGTTATTATTAATAATATTAATAATTTAAATATTATTTAATTATTTAATATATTATTACATTGCTAATTACGTTAGCAAAAATGTAGTCATTCAAACATGTATTAATGAAATTATTCAAATATATTCATATTAATAATAATTATTATTATTATTATTAATTATTTAATCATCATAATTATTGCCACAAACCATTACCATGCATTATTATTATTATTATTATTATTAAGAAGAATATGGAATTGACAAAGTAAAGAGATAAAAAGAAATGTCACTGAATTTTCAAGCTAACCTGGGAGCGAACTCATCGATGGTGAGTCCAGCCTTCAGTCCGGTCCTGCAGTACTCCAGTCCATTGGCAATAGTGTAAGCCAACTCCAGTATGGCATCAGCACCAGCTTCCTGTATGTGGTATCCACTGATGGAAATAGAATTAAACTTGGGCATATTCTATAAGGGAAAAAAAACAATGTGTAGAGGTCAGATACCGTCTGAATATTGAATCAACAAAAATGGTCAAAACTACAAGGCTGTGAAAAGCACATATGCAAGGATGATGAATACTCTATTAATATAAGTCACGGGAAGATTAAAAACATTTTGTCTTAATCTTCTTAAAAGGTATGTTTATAAAAAAGTAGGTTTTAAAGTTCATAGAAAAAAAGAAGCAATTAAAAATAAAAAGTAGTTTGAAGAATTTTTAATAGCACTGTAATAGTACTATAAAAACAACGGACAGTAGACTGAATTACATATAAAGTCATGTCACTCAAGCCGTACCTTTGAGGTGTAGGCGAAGATATCGGCGATGGCGTGCATTGATGGCTCTGGAGGGAAAATGTAGGTGTTTCGCACCATGAACTCTTTGAGGATGTCGTTCTGGATGGTGCCTGTCAGCTTCTCCTTGGCCACACCTTGCTCATCTCCGGTCACGATGAACATGGCTAGAATGGGAATGACAGCTCCATTCATTGTCATGGATACCGACATCTTCTCCAGCGGGATGCCGTCGAACAGCAGTTTGGTGTCCTCTACGGTGTCGATAGCTACACCTGCCATTCCCACATCCCCATGAACTCTGGGATTATCCGAGTCGTAACCTCTGTGCGTCGCAAGGTCAAAGGCCACAGAAAGGCCCTGCTGGCCCGCTGCGAGGGAAAAAAACTTTTTATATGACTTATACCAAAGATTCCCAAACATTTTTGTCAGCCCTTTGACCTAAATATTTCTTAGAAGTCCCTCTGAGATTTTAAGTTAATATTGCAATAATTCAACAGCACATTCATGGTTCTTCAAGGTCACATGGCATGCAAATAAACAATATTTATATAACAAAACAAAGCTTCATTTTAATATTATAACATTTTTTGAAATCTTAATCTTCTTAAATGTATTTATTTTGCATTATATAAAATAATGTTAATAAGTGTTTTATTTTATATTATCTATCAATATAAATTACTGGAAGACTGAAAACATTTAGTCTTAATCTTAAAAGTATTTATTTTAAATTATAAAAATATATTTATATAAATATTTATAAAATAATTGTAATAAATGTTCATACAATATAAAATAATATATCTTTTTTAGATATATTTGTAGATATTTTAAATA